ATATAAAGGGTTTTTCGTTGACATAATACTTCGAAATGAGCAGATGGGGTTATTTATTGCGATTTTTGAAAATAGAAATATCAATGTCATACGGTTGAGATATCGATAAATGATTGTATATAGATGAATTGATGCAGCAATTTCAAAAACATGTTTCAGCACTTTTAGAACATGTTTAAGAAGGGTTGACAATTCTATTCAATAAGACTAAAAAATTACTTACTTTTCTACCTTTCTACTTATTTAATAACTGGCTTACGTTTTAAAAATATATCTGATGTAACAATAATATCAATTAGTGCAGTCTTATAAACAAGAGAATAAAATTGTAATATTGATTTATTAAAACAAATCGATTTTTAAATGCAATCAATCATTAAAAATGCTGTCAATTATTATCTTCTTAAAAATGGATTACAATATTTTAGTATTCCAGTAATTATCTCAAATGAGATTCATCTTATTTATATCTTAAAATAATAAATTAAAATTTTTTGTATTACGTTAAATTTAATTTAGTAATTTTTTTTTATTTTAACGTAATTTCTAATTCATATTATTCTAGAAAAATGCGATTTACTACATTTACAGACGTTACAATCTCGCTCGCTCGCCAGATCTGATAGCGTATGATTTTTTTATTTTGTGTTACATCAAAAGTGAAGTTAAATTTTTTTAATACAGTCGAAATATAGTGTCTTGTGAGCTATTTTCGACCAGTTTGTTCGTGTTCTAATTTCTTAAGTCCCTTCTTGCCTTATTTAGGCCTCTTACGGCTTTCACGTTTATGATTACCAAGAATATTCGATAAAGTGGGTAAACCTAAGACTTAAATTTAAAAACACTTTAAAATAATTTATAATATCTTTATTTTCAAAGGTAGTTACGAAATAATGCAAGTGTTAAAAGATAATTGATTTTTTTAACACTATTAACAAAATTCAAAAGTTTTATACATTTTTTTGTGATTTACATTTTAATTATTTTAGAGTGTACCTTTTTCTACCCTTTCCTGTAATTTTTTAGTTATATTAACTATACAAACTGTAACTAGCAAAATTTAAAGTTTTAAAAAATCTACCGTTTATAAAGGTTACTTTATAAGTAATTTTGGAAAGAAATATATTTCCTGGCATTAATGTAATATTGAAAATCGTTCAAATGTTGTAAAAAGTTTTTTATAAATACTGAAAAAATTACTTTTCATATCTAAACCACGTGGAATAATTAAGGTGCCTACGAATTTTCTTTAAAACTAAATATATTTACACGTTTTCTTTCTGTTAAATCCCGTATAACTGACACAGGAAAAAAATGAAACACATCACACTTGAAAATAATCTTTAGTTTTCTTAAGAAATAGATTTAAAACTAGAATGAAGAATTTTCAAGTTGATATCATTTTTTGTATTTGAGAATAATTTTGGTACAAAAAATTTTAAATTCGAACCAAAAATGTTGGTTTTTTGAAAGTAAACCCATAATACTCTTCACAGACTACTGTGTGAAGAGTAGAAGAGTATAACACTATAGATTTCTTTATGAAAAACAAAATTATATTTTGTAAATGAAATAGCACGATGTAGCGGCAAATTACAAAGTTAAAAATATTTTGTATAAATATAAAAATTTTATTAATTTACCAAACTAAAATACACTGAACGCAAAAAGTAAAAAAAAATAAATTTTAAAATAACTTTTTTTACCAAATTTGTCGCAAGCCGTTTCTGATATTTATTATTTTAAATGGTTATTAAATTATTGTTGAGAATGTGCCTAAACCCTTTGCCCGTTTAACTAAATTTATTACCGTTTACGGTTATTACCACCCTGTGTATAAAAAAAAATAATAATCCTTCTATTAAGATTCAAGAGTTAACGTCGCTTTATCAATATTTCCCATGAAAGAAAGAACAAATAAAAAAAATACCAAGACAGTTACTAGCTCAGCCACAAAACAAAATTAATGTTTTCCTTGTTGCCCCAAAAAAGGATTAATAACAATCCTTATGTTCCCAAAGAAGGGCCACTTTCGGACCTGGTCGATTAAAACGAGTAAAATCCTAGATATCTAGAATTCCCCGAGGTCCTTACAAGTAAGCGTCCTAAAGGCGAGAATCGCGAAGGGTTACGGAATAGCGCCAGGTCGGTCGTCATTAGTTACGCAGCTTTTGTTAGAAAGGGTAGTAAATAAACAACACACCCCATAGCATGTGGAAAAACCCTAACAATTGAACAGGTTTTAAATCCATCGTAGATGTCCGGTCCATCCCTCTATGTCCGGCCTGACCCGCTGACCTTTTTGCCCATTAATCATATCTATTATACAAGACAGGGTCATTTATTCCAGTCGTCCAAATATACGGGCTGGGTGCTAAGCCCTTCGTATCGACGATCACGAACGCCTTGCGCGACTGCAGCATTCCAGATTATGTCGTTACTTACACTGACCGTTGGTTAGTGCTTTTATCAAAGGATATACCTACGTGAGAACTCGGTGTTACTTCTTTTTGGTAGTTTGGGTGTCAGAAGAATTGTCTTGCAATTTGCATACTCATTCAGCACCCAGAAATGTGTTGTGATTTATGCGATCGTCGCTTGCTCTGGCTATCTTTTGGAAGCTAGTCCGAAGAAATTGTCGCGAAAAGATTTTTGGTTTGGCTTCATTTGCATTTTTTCGGGTGCGGTTGTCAAAACATGAGTAGGTAACCGACAAACTGTGTCGATCGAAGGGGGTAATTTTATCTGCTGGTTGACAGGAATGAAATGGGCGAGTTAAATAATTTTTTGAATATTTCCCCTTTTGTCTTTTAACTGGTAATTCTTTTGTTGATTAGTACAGTCTATCTAGGATTTTTTGTTTTTATAATGACAGATTGTGTTAACATTTTAGCAGACTTGTTTGGTTGTGTCTACTTGGCCAATACCACGTTTAATATTTATAAGAAACAGTGACTATCAAACAGTTTTAATTTATCGGGAATAAAAGGGTAAGGGGAAAACACCAACATGTCCATTTTATAGGAAGTTTTAAGTAATCAACTTTTATGTTGGTGATACCGAGTCCCAAACTCATGCTAAATTGTAATCTAATAAAACAAATGAGGTCCAAATAATAAGGCGTTTAAAAATAATCATAATGGTTAAAAACAGACGTTGTCCTCGCACTACTGGAAAAAAACCGACGTTGTCCAGACTAAATACAACGATTTGCAAGTACTAAAACGATTTTGTCACCCAAATACTAACGAATTTTGAGAAACATTGTTATACAGATGAAAATCTGTTTATTTTAGGTTAGTTTTAAAATGAAAATAATTCCTTTTTAATAAGTTATTTATCACGTTTTTTTTTTTTTTTTAACCTGAATATAATATTCTTACGTTTATTATTTTGTAACAATTTAAGTATATAATAATAAATTACGTTAATAATATTAACGTGCGGTTTTATTTATTTCTATGACTGTAACATACGATTTGGTATTATTATAAACTCAATTTTCTTAGTAAGTCAGTTTTGTGACATCGTCTGTTTTTTCCCCTTGCCCTTCAATTGTTAAGGGCGAATTCCATAATAAATTTGAAGACGTTTTTAATATTAAAGGATGCATTAATATAGCGTTTCTCTGGCTACCAACAGTTGACTGTTGACTGAAACTAATTAATAAAAATTCGTGGGACATGCCTATTTAAAAGAAATTAATTGCAATCTTAATGGTCATTATTACTCTGTTTACATCAGTCAATAACAAAAATTTGTTTGAATTTTGGGTAATTAATATGGAAAGTGGATTTCACAACTTTGAAGTAGTTTTGATAAGAGATGGATGCAGAGGAATTACCTCCAAGAAATAATAAGGACATTGTTAAGTATCTTAGAAATTTTTGTGATCCTATATCACAGCAAATTAATGGAATAATTATCTAGAAAAATGTTTTTATTAAGAATAAGTTTTTACTTTCAATATTACGAAAAACTGATATCAACTAGATACTATGATGGCTGTCCTTTTTCCGCTCAACTCATCTATTATAGTCTGAATAAAAGATGAGTGCAGTAAAAGCGAGGATATAACGTCACATTTCATAGGCGTACTTTGCAAAATAAGTTTCTGTAATATAAATAAGGTCACGGCATATAAAATATATTATTATTATTTAAAAAAAATAAACATAAACCTTATGCTTCTGACAAAATTGTTGCACTTTAGTATGAATGAATTAAATTTAACCAATAAATAACAATATATGTTGTTAATGGGATTAATCTTTTTTTAATCTCTTGGCATTAAAAGTAACACTTCAGTACCTAAAATCAAAGATTAAAAAAAATAAAAAATTCAAAAACTATCTTTAAAAGTCACTGTCTTCACTATAACTATTGGTATCATTATCATTGTTTTTTATAAATAAAATGTCTACCTCTTGAATCTGTACTACGTTCTGCAAATTAAATTACTGTGCTTCTTTTTTCTCCAGAGTAAAGGCGATGATATGTTTACAACAAATTTTGTCTGACATTTTAATCTAGTTGTTTACAAGTTTAGTTAGTGACAGTTGCCAAATATACCTGATTGTTTGTGAGTTACATCAGTATCCTTTAATATTAAAAGCTGTTGTGAAATTCGTCCTAACAGATCAAAACGTCTTGAAATAAAAATTATAATAATTACCATTACCATTCACATTTGACTTACTACTCTCTTTATTCTACTCGCCTTGCTGCAGTTGTGATTCAAAAAAAAAAAACTGAATTGAATCATATATTTTAACTAAATCGGAGGATTTAAAAAACATCATTAAACATGGCATACAAAAAATATCTATGAATTTTCACTGCCTATACCACTGCGTATTATTGTAAACATGGCGCATTCGGCAATTTTTTCAATTGGAAAAATACATTTTTTCTACTGTCTTATAGATACAACATTGCATTTTTATCACACCTTCAAATACGTTTGCTCTCTCGTACAGTTCTGTGCGCTCTTATTACAGGTTCCCTTCCACCTAGTCCCGCAGATTCTGGAGTATCGGACGTGGACAGCTCTTCCAGCGGGCACACTTCCACCGACGAACTCAAGGCGAGACTTCAACCCTCCATACACTCACCCGTAGGCACTTTATTCCCAAGGCATCCCTTTTCGTGGAACAACGCTCACCAGAGACCGCCAAGTCATATGTCTCAGCAATTTTACCAACCTTTCCATTCAAGTAAGTACCGTTTATTTCAAATATTAACTGAGATTTCATCGAAATAAAATTGTCTAAAACGTTGACAACTTAAATGGATATCGATATTAGTCCAGCAATCGCTCTGGAATGCAATATAAGCGTTCTAATCACTTCAAAAAAATAAAAAAATTACATAAAATGAAATAAGTTGGTTAGGTTTAGAGCTAAGATACAATACAATATAAAAACAACTTCTAACATTAAATAGCCACCATACTAGGACCAACATTTGACGTCTTGTAGTCATCTAAAACTTCGCTCATGTCAAGATGTGTACTGTGAATAGGCAACATATTTTACAGTAACTACGAAGGACATCTTGGATTTTGTGAATTGGCCAAGACCAGATAAGAGTCACTTTAAGTTGCATATTGATATAACGGACCGGACCCGGGCCAAAAACGGACTCAGGTACGTCGGATACGTTCGGTGTCGTTTGTCTACCATGCGATGGAAACCAAACGGGCCTAGTTCGGTCCTATTTGGCCCGGCCCGTGCTAGGCCCGTTGGTTTTCCATCGCGCGGTAGATACGCCCGGCCCGATACGTATTTTCGGTTTGAAATTATTGACGTAATTATCATCGTAAACGAAAATGAATACTTGAAATCTGTATCACAAAAATGTTGATTTTTGCCATTTAATAATTTTGCACCATTAATTCAATCGGTGATAAAATCAGAAAAATTATTATGCCTCGGCGTTTTACTTTTATTGATATAATATATTATCACTGTTTTAATAATTCCAAACAATATAATCTTTTCTCGTCTAATGTTTAATAAATCATGTGATTGCCAAAAAAAATTGCACACGACACACTGTTTTTTTTTTAAGTGCACAATTTCAGATACACTTTTAACACCTTATCAACCGTGTCATTTGAATATTTATTACACGACAGTCAAGGTCTTTTTTTAATCTTCTTAGAAGCTAAATTAATATTTATAAAAAAAATAAAAACGCAATATAAATAGTTTATTATAAAAAACAGCAAGTTTGCTAGATATGTAATAGCGATACTTGACCTAGGCTAAGCGAAGACACATTGAGATAGATAATTGTAGTACTTTCACGTCTTTATTTAGTCTTTCATATCTAGATAGCGATAGTTTTGTCAATTACCATAAATAATGTTAATTAATGCATTAAACAAAAACACTTATTTTTGTGACAATCCTAGAGTCGGTTTTTGTCAATATTCAGATAACTCTGACCTTGAGGTAATTACAAATTGAAAAAACGAACCCTAAAACTTTAAATAGTCCTTTGAATTTATAATTTATATCTATAGATACATTAATAATTACATTGTTTGTTTAGCATAATCGAAACTAGTCGGTAAACGAGTTACTGAAATACATCCTATTAACATACATTTTTTTGCGATAATTAAAAACCAATATCGGCAACATCGCTAGTGTTTTGCGTCTCTTTTTTTTATCGATAAACTTGACCTAGGGTAAGTCGCGACGTGTTGCTAAGCCAACAACACAAAATAGGAAATGCTGACAATGTAAATTTAAGTAGCTCGGCATAAAAATAACGAAAAAAAATTGGCAAGTTTTAAAAAACAGATTCTCTTCTGACGTCAATTTATTAAAGTAAAAATTTATTAGTAAGGATCATCTTTTTGGCTCGGGAATTAGCTATAAAAAAATTGTAAACTCTGATATAAGAGTAAGTATCTATAACCTTTGTAAATTCATTTTTTTTTTATTTTTTTAAATTATTAACAAAGTGTATATCTATAATGGATACCTACATTACTAACTAAATGAATATGCAACTGACATCAAGAACTATGCCGTCATAAGCAAAACCCCAGTAAATAACTACGTAAACTATGGAATACAAAGTACCAATATAGCTGTTTTTGTTGAATTAAAGACAATGTTTGGATAATGCTTTTAACTAGTTAAAAATTAGTTTGATTTGATTTTTGTGTTGGTTTGTGGGCTAAAAGATTTTTGCTACACAAAAAATGTTAGTTACGCTGTAAAATCAAATTGACTTTTTAGGATACAGAATAAATATTGCCGGGATTTTTAAGAAGTAAAAGCGTTAGTATCCGAATGGTCAAATATTTGTAATTTGTCAGTTACGGAAATTTGGCAGAATTATACACTTGTCATTTGTATTTTGTATTGACGCCTTTCTCCTTATGTTGTGTACGGGATGATGAGATATTCAATTGCTAAGAGTAATCCTAAAACAAACTCAGATTTTTAGCAAACCAAAACGAGTAAACGAGATGATTATGGTCTTGCCGACGGTTCCTGATTACTAAAGATTTTGTGGAAAATTTGCGATTTTAAGTTACGAAATACATTGCATACAGAGATGGGAGTGACGAAACAAATTAAAACATTGCTAGTACATTCGTTACTTCTTAAAATGGGCGAAAAGTGACAGTACCCGCGTTACTTTTAAGAACTCGAAATCATTAGGTACCTAATTACTAGTAATGTTTTTTTCTTAATTTCAGAAAGTAACGCAATATTGAAATTTCATTACCTTTTCCACGATGAAATAACGCGTTACTTTTTTTTAAATAAAAGGCTAGATTGCAAAAAAAAACAAAATAAAATTAAATATATTCATTTTAATGCCCACGTCCTTGACTACTTTTTATCGAAACTTAAAAATTAGCATTAAAAACTGCTATCTATTCAATTCCAAACAAACAAATTCAAATGATGTTCCTTCTCCGTTTTTTTTTTATCGCCAGCGTCTGCGCTTCCTCATAGAAACCGAAAGTCTAGCGGTGATCTATTTTTGTTCAGTAGTGACATTGGCTAAGGTCAGTTTTACGTAATCTAAGTAATTGCCATGCCTCTTTCGAGTGTTTGGTTCATTTTAGTTATTTACTTGTTCATCGCGAGCAATTTAATACCACTTGTCTGAATAACAGTATTTTTGTTAGATAGAAGAAACGATTTATTAATAATAACATTATTGTGTTTACATTTAGTAGAATGATTCTCACTACAATTTTAGACCTATATAAAAAAATGTCAGTTAATTTAAATTAGTTTGTTCCAAATACAAAAGTCTAATTCAGCGTACTGAAATTTATACCTTTGTTATTGTGTTTCGGACCCAACATTGGGACTACAATAAATGCTCAGTAATGGCGTTTCCAGGCTTTTGAACACTCTGGAAACTTAGGAAAACATGTCATTTACAACTGAAGCTGTAAAACATTATTGTTTCTTTATTGGCGATTCAAGCTAAGCGATATGCCTTCTAGAATACCGACGAAGGCACGTAAAAGCACCGAAAGCTTTACAACTTCACTGTAGTTTTATTTAATTCAAACACCTACAACCCAAGAAGAACAAAAACATAAAATTCAAAAATAAGGTGTAGTAATCATAAAAGCATAAGATAGGTAGATATTCCTATAATTTATGAAATACTCAATAATAGTACCTACTGTACTGTCATTCGCCACCTTTGAAAAGTTTTTTAATTATTTGTGGAGCATTAAATTTGTTTATTTGTTGTATGTTAAGTTTCCCACAATTACAGCAGAAAAACAGTATAGAATATGTGATGCTGTTTGAATAGAGGTAGAACAATACGCGACATCCCACTATCGGTAGAGGTGTTTCCATCTGTCCATTCACATGAATTAGCATTAGAGTGAACAAGAAATACTTTCCTTATCTGTATACAGATAGGAAAGTAAAAAAGGAGAAAAACATATTTTAGATGTTTTGTAATTTTGCTCAAATTTAAGAATCTTCTTTTGGCTTCTTTTTAACAAGTTTTATGACTAGCAGAAATCAATTAGCCAGGGTCATGTTCGATCTTGAGTCGACAAATCGGTCAATTTTATCAACTTGCGTCATTGTTTTTCAAACGCATTTGCTATTACCTACCGCAATATGTTACACAAACGTTATGGAATATTTTCATAAAAAAAACAGTAAATACAGCTTGGCGAAACAATTTTTTTAATGAGTGTTTACTAATAGTATTAATTCTAATGTATTTCATATAGTGTCGTCAGATCAATTCCTTTCAATTATTGTATTTTTTCTTCAAATTATTAGACATAAAAACAAAAATAATAGAAAAAAAGAGAATTATTTCAGTAATAAATAAAACGAAGGATCAAAATGAAACATTCGCTCTCGGGTGGGAATCAAACCCTCGCCTTTGGTATTCCGTATCACCTTCCATTCTTGGTTTGATTGTGGAAAATAAAGAAAATCATATTGTTCCTGAGACTTTCACTCGCCAATATATGTTGGGTTCCTTATCAGTGTAAATTTTCGAGATTGGCAACGCAATTACCTACCTCAATCTTATGCAAACAAGTCCAAGGAATATTCCAAAAAAATTAGATACTCGTACCGAAATAATATAAGTACAGTAAACATTGTTTTTTGTTTGTTAATTAGTGTGAGCCTGTCGAAAAAGTTTGAAGGTGACACCTAAATTTAGCAGTCGCTATTTGAACTGCGATAAGAAAATGTTTTCGATTTTTTTTATCTCATCTGTTATTTATACTATTTAATAATGTAATTTTATTTCACTGACCAAATATTGAAATTTCATATCAAAATGTTATCGCCAAAGGCGCAAGGCAGGTCAGTTTTCAATTTGCATATTTCTTAAAACTGCGTCGATAGCTTAGATAGCAGTAACTATGCAAATAAAGAGACCAAGTTGTTTATTTTTTAGGGCAGATAAGAGTATTATTAGATTTTTTTAATTTGTTTGTCTAGCGTCTGCATCTAATGTCACTTTTATTTTCGTTGACAATATCAATTTATACAATAAATCAATTCAGCTTTAATTAAAACATGATTGTTGTCTAGGTATTCCTGATTCTAGGGTTGTTCCAATGACTTTCATCTCTGTCTGGCTAGAGCAGTTTGGGGTAAATTTCTCCATTGCTACTTCGGGATAAGGTTAATCTTTTACCTTTCGCTTATGTAGTTTGTTGGTTGCTTTCTGATTTTGGTCC